CTTATCCTCTAAATGCCACATCGTAAATCAAATACTATAGCACATATCGTTGGTATAATTAACATAATAATCGCAATCAATCAGTGATATATTAATAAGATCAAATATATATTTATAAACGAGAGTTTCACAAAATTTTTGAATAGTGAGGGCAACTTCGATAAATTTTGAACTGAAATTGGCATATATCACAATATAAAATTGTGTGTGAAGTTATAAAGAGTCATCCGTTTTATTTTTTTAAAGTTACAGCGCTCTTTGAAGGCAATAAGGGAGTGGGGAATCCCATAATTAATTTTATTAAGACTAAAATGGTGGTACAAACTTAGAGATGAACTCAGTTAAAAGTACAATGGAGATTTTACTCGAATCTAAAAGTTGAGGTAGGTGAATTAAGTTTGTAGAAATTATTCCAATCCGTGATAAACTAAAGTTTAATTAGAAGAAAATAAATTCCTGCCTGTAACCACATATGCAAGATATCGATTAAGTATGCATTTTTCAGTAAAATGCACGTGATACTCGAGCTAGTAGTAGTTTAGGTATCTGAGCCTGTCAAGCTAAACCTAAAAGTGTTCACGAAAAATGAATCGTGTTTTTAGTTGAAGTTCAGAGTTAATTCGTTTACAAACGACCCCAGTTGCTATGCCGTTAGGATAAGATCCATACGAGCAGGGACGTTTGATAGCCAGATAAGATTACTTACTTAACCCTGATTTCGGTGAACTGATAGAAGTGTTCCAGTGCGCACAATAACAAAGATAACAAAAGAATTTTAGAGGAAAAACTCTTTTGGAATTAAAAACTCTATTTTGATCAATACTGGTAACTTTATTGAACTAAGCTCATTTAGTTTAAGACTTCACTACTGAAATTCATATTGCCCTGGATAAAAAGAAATGGAATTTTCATCAAAGTATAGGATATAAACCTCATAGAGCTTAGGCATTCATTAGTAATAATAGCCTTAAAATGACGAGATAAAACGTCTTTTACGAGCTACATATGAGCCATTTTTTGTGGGAGATCCGCGTATTATGCCCTCAGATGAATACAGCTATGACTGGGAGACTAAGTAGCAGGTACTTTATTGCGACCTAATAGGAATTGGTCAATAAAAAGCAATTATAAGCAATATGATCTGTTCGGAGATTGAATAATACACAAATTCCACGCCATAGTAGTATCTAAAAGTTAAATCTATTTATCATAGAGCTAGGGGCCTTCTTCTTTGATTGCCTATAATTTCTGACATCAGTTTATAACCAAAGTAAATGCGTATCTATGCTGCCAGATTTCAAAATGGAGCATTACTGCATACCTTTACTGTTCTCTTGTCATATACTAAAGAGCTGAAATCTCGGTTCTCTCAATCTTTCTACTCACGCCAGTAAGGATTGCCTTCGCCGCTGTGCTGACAGTGTCCTTCAGGCGAAGAGGGCTGAAAAGAATAGCCTGATACATTGCGGCGTGGTCTTGGGAGTAGAATGGCGGCAGGCCGTAAAGCATTTCGTAGAGCACAGATCCTAAGCACCACCAATCTACCGCGTGGTCGTAAGCCTCTTTGCGTATTACTTCCGGGGCGAGATACTATAAGTTGAATAGTAATGAAGTTAAATTCATGATAACATGGGTAGGAAGCAAAATAAGACCTGGTAGCCACAATAAAAACCAAAATTTATGCATATAATTGAGTACAATAAAGTGTCTCAAACAATATACTTGACCTTAAACTTTTGTTCTTAATCAGAACTCCAAATAGCTGTTTTAGGCGGATATTTAATGTCTATAAAGAGCTTGCCCCGTAGAATCCACAAGAGAATAGGGCATAGCAAATCATAGACTTGGCATTACGGATAGAAACAGAATAGACGCGGCAGAGACTGGAGCTAGTTAGCTGACAGTAGACCTGTTTTACCATAGACGTGGTCCATGTAGCAAAGGCTTGACCATGAGAATTACTCAGTGGCTTTAACGTCGAATTAGTCGCCCAAACACAGGGAATAGGTAATAACACTTCGAGGAGGATAGATGGGGTGACAGGAGTCGAGTGAAATATTTTAACCAGGGCGATAGCAGACCGATCCTACGGGGCAAGAGGGAGACTGTGATAAGACCTAGGGAGGGAGGACGGCGTAACAATATGGCAGACTCTGATCAACATTCCCAGCATAAGGGTGAAGTAGGGTGAGAACGCCAGTGTGGAGTGTGGAGAGTTCTCATGAAAGCCCCACAAAAAGGCACACCACACTACATTTGAATAAGCACGGAAAAATTGTAACAGTGAAGTTGTGATATGAGGATATAGGAAAAGTGAATAGCCCCGGGCAGAAGGAGAGATACCACAACTATTTAGCACACATTTAGTCAAAGAATCGGCTTCACTTGTCTCTTTGATGAGTTGTAGTATAGAGCCGACTACGATGCCGGTGAAATATCTGTGAATGTATTACGTCCACGGTCCGACTTTGTAAATAATCATGCATATAATGGATTTCGGACTAGGTGCGTTCCTCTAAGTCTTCTTACCAATATGACCAAGTTGCAAAAACAAGGTCAAACAACTTATATACAACGAAAGGAGACTGCGACCACACAACAGGCCACATCATCTTACTCTTCATATCTTTGTATAATTATGTGACTTCAATATCCACTATATATGTAGTTAATTAGACACTTTCATTTGCCAGGTTTTATTATTGGGACAAATAATGCCCGTGTAAGAGTCTGTTTTAAGTGGCTCCCATCAATAAATTAATATGAAAATACAAGAAGGCCAGAAAAGCTATAGACATAATTTTCATAGGGACCTAATAAGCAAAAGGTTGGAAGAGGGAAGAGCCGGCGAGAATTTCGCTTACTGTGTGAGCAGACTTGGAGAAATTCAGGGTACGACGAAGCCAGCCAAGAGGAAAAGCTTGGATTAAGGACATCTATCAAAAATCTAAAAAAGGCATTTCCATAAAGATGATCTTGAAGGACAAATGGAAGTCAAGAGAGGGCGAGTGCATTGAAAGGATCCATCTTCAATAAAGTTGATATAGAGTGATCAACCTGGTGAAACAGATAGGAAAGGTGACAATTTTCTTAGGAGGCTACTAGTGAGGATGCTAATTTCCCGACCTAAGTCTGCTTCAAGTCGAGCAGACGCTAGTGGTGTACTCTATATTGGCTCCACATGCACGGACTAAATGACGGGGGGGGCATGACATGATGCCTGACGTTCATTAAATCATGTGCACACTTTGAAGTGAGTGAAACGGAAACTCAGGCTTAGGCTGGACGAAAATGCAAGAGGAGGGTTACACTTGAAGCATAATTAGGTAAGTGAAGTGGAATACCTCAACATTAATAGTTTCAACAAAAAACAGATGTTGCATCCATAGAAAATATGAGTGAATGGGGTGGAGGTGAAAGAAAGTGACAGCTGGGAGATTTGGGCTCTGAAAGTAACGGCAATTATGAGAATCACAATCATAGGAATACATTCGCTACTATGATTTATGTGGTAACCGAGAGTGAGGAATCATAGCTACCCACTAAGATAGGACAGAATAGAATAGCTGATAGAAGTTTGGAGAAGTGACTTTCTGGGTAAAGAACCAATTAGTATCAGGAAGCCACGAAGAAGGGATGCGAAACGGGTAATTAAAGTGATTACGCCCTATAAAACACATATTTAGAAGTTATGGAAAGAAATAAAGGTACATAAATTTTATAGGGAAAAACTGGCTATATGAATTAGGAGTGATTTACTAGGACGTGGCGCTATAAAGCTAGGACAAAAGGTTATAAAGAAAATCGGTTCAGAGGATTTCCTATACATATCAGGATAGAGCCTCTCAT